GATGTAATTACAGCCCCTCTGTTCTTGATTCAGCATCTTGTACATCCAACAGAGTAACTGGATTTACATCTTTATACAGGATGTATTGTCCGTATTTTTTCCAAATCTTTTGCTCTGTGAAGATACAATTCTTTTATGGCAAGAATTTAATCTGTTTTACACACTTTTTCAATACCAAAAGCAAGAAGTTAGAGAAACAAGCTCTCATTTTTGTGTTATGCTTTTGGTGCATTTACACACTTTGAATGAATGACTTTCATTGATGAAGAACTTATTAATAACTAAGTACTTTGGTTAACATTAGGTTTGCCAGTTTCCGTCTTCTGAGAATTTGTTGTTGATATAATGAAATCAAATACCAGATAAACTCTGGAACTGATTTCTCAGAAGAAATTAAGTTCTGCCGTTTCCCTGTACCTCTGAAAGCTACAGTGTCTAAGGCCACAAGCTTTTTCTCTTCAGTTACAGCATTAACTTACTCCCAAGTATTTCTGCAACAGCTTCCCGGGTCACTAATGTTTCTGACTCCAAGTAGACTACAAATGCTGCCAGGAACACCAGCCGCTGCAGCACAAACCTCCAGTGCTCATGAAACCTGCAGGAGAAACACCAGGTCCAGGTAAAAATAATTAATGTTTATTACTGGAGCGTTAGGCAACAAGCACACATTCTCTGTGTGTTGTGTTTTCTGCCTTAACACAAGCACTTTGCAGTATTTTTGGTTTATCAAAATGACACCAGCTAAAAGACATCTCCTTGGTACTCCAGAACTCCTCACCCAGGTTACCACACCAGACACTGACATTTGCTCACCCCTCTCACACACCTCCTCAGCTCCCACACTTTTCCAGGCTGTGTTGCCCACAGACAGCCAGAGCTTTCCCTCAGCAGATCTGAGCTGACAAGATTCTTGTTCTTTGAAATGTTCTTGCCAGGCACTGTCCCCTTCTGGCAGCAACAGAACACAAAGGTGACAACTTCATTTAGTGTCTGCAGAACCAAACAGCCATTTCATGACAGATTTAGAGCTCTGCTTCCAGGAACGCCCCAAACTGAACAACTTAACTGAAATTAATGGAGCAGCAAATGCCCTGCTCCCAGATACAAGGGCAGCTCCAACTTCTTAAGCTTCCCTTTTTCTTTTTAAAGAAAATTCCTAGAAAAATAATTCAATACTGAGTATTTTTGGTGAAAAGTTAAAGTGTTTGAGCAAAAGCATTTTTTATCTATGCTGATAAAAACCTCACACTTGTCTACCACAATTTACTTTTCAAAGAGAAAGAAGCATTCAGCCCATCAACCTTTACATTATTATTCCAAAGCAATGATGCCAAATGCCAAGCAATTCCCATATATATCTGTGTGTGATCCTGCACACCTGTAATACTGATCAGCAGGAAACTTGGTCTTCAGAGACTCCATCTGTGTCCTCACTGTACCAAAGTGCTCACGAGCCTTCTGACACTTCTTTGGAACTGAAAAAGAAACAGCACAGCATTTGAGGAATGAATACACTCAGGAAATGGGTATTTGTCAGGCAGCAGAGGTTTGCAAACAGAGTTTCCCTGTGTAGACAGCACTGTTAACACTTCTTTCTTGTTCAAGATAGGCTACTGACACTTGGAATCAGTCTGAGAAGTATTCCTGGTGACACCATGAGCCATAGAGGTAAAGCAGAAAGACTCTGGAATTCCAGGCTGTCTGATCTACTCTGGGCCTTTGTTTTGAACTTGAGCCAAGATGTCCCAGCAACAGCCAGATCCCAAGCAATGGAACAGCACTGCACACAGCAGCTGGCCTCAAAGGAAGCACACACCAAGCACTGCTGCCAGGCAACTCTCAAAGCCAAAGAAACTTTTCTTTCTCTATATTAAAATCTTATCCTATTTTTTTTTTCTAATCCATCAGAATTTGGCTACATGAGGTGCAACATCCCTTCAGGAAACTGCATTTCCTGCTTTTTACGATGTATTTGCAGAGCCTGGGTTGCAGCCTACTCAGTGTGTGTTACAGCTCTGCAGAGGAATGATCTCCTGTTCCTGCAGCAGGCACTGCCACCTCCCGTTCGCTGACAGAGTTACAGCCCCGCTGTGCCTGCAGTGCCACAGCTTCCCTGCAGCCCCCTCACACAGCCGGGTCACAGCCCAAGGAAGGACAAAATCAACCTGACAGGTCCTCCTGCATCTTCATGTGCAGAAGCCAGGATTATTCACAAAAGCTGCATCTGAAAGCTGTGATGGTTTTTAGCAAACAACACCTACAAGGAGTCACTCAAATGTGATTATAAAACTTCTGTTAGTAACACATTGTTTCTGTTTAAAAAAATAAAAGAGACAAGAATGACATGGAAAAAATGAAAGCTTCAGGAAGCAGAATGTGGGAGTGCTCCATGTGGCAGCCAGGATGAAAGAGCCGTGTGAAGCTCACTGAGAGCTACAGGGCTGCCTCAGTCATGTGAGCATCGTGCAGCTGGGGGAAGAGTAAGGAACACATTCAGGTTTGGGTTCTGCAGAGGCACCTGTGACAAAAAGAAACAATCCTTACTGCAAAGGCTCAGACAATGCCCAGTGACACACACACACTACCCCAGATTCAAACTGATGTTCTGCAGCTGCAAGAGCAAGGACAGAGTTGTCTCTGGGGCTGTGTTGGCCCTGCCTGTCACCCTGCGTGCCACCAGGCCACAGCAGATGCAGCACACACTGCCCTGCCCAGCCTTCCCAGCAGCTCTCCAGCTCCAGCTGGGACAAGCAGCCAAGGAAACCTCTGGGAGATGACATTTTAAAAGCCACTGGCTGGTATGGGAAGCTGTCCTCCATCAAACTCCCAACTATCCCAAGGTTTTACTAACAGAGCTGAATTTTAATGACAAATTCACACATCTGCTATCACAAGTTAACTCTTGACCTATTAAGCATTACTTGTGCAAGAATTATAAGATAAGGCTTTGGGTTTTTTGTCTGATTGTTTATTTGTTTGTGGTTTTTTTGTTTGATTTTTTTTTGGTTTTCCATTTTTTAGTTGGTTTTGTCCTTTTTTTTTTTCTTTAACTATTCCAAATCTCTTCTCAGACTTCTCAAGTTCCAGGACCAGCTCTCTCCAGGAATTAAACATCAAGTGAAAATACATTGAGTTGAACATGGGCCTCTACAATTAAATGCTTGACAACTCTGAAGTTGTTCCCCCCAGAATGACCATGGATTTTCCCAGGTTAGAGAACTGAGCTTGTGCAAATAACCACTCGGCAGCTCTGATTTCCAGCACTGCCAGTTTCCCAGCAGATGGAACTTGCACTTGCCTGCACAGCTCAAGCCTCAGGTGCTGCTCATTGCTGAGCACAGACCCTCTCTGAGGCCAGAGGAAGCCCAGGCCTCCAGCCCCAGCCCCCAGCATGCTGGGGAACCTCATCAGGCTGAAAACAACCTGTCAGCTCTGCAAGGGAGTAACTCAGCACCTGGGGAGGCTGGTTCTGTTTCCCTTCACAGGGTGGCCTGCACAAATTCCTCTCAAGAGTTTCCAGCAAAATCAGAATGGATGCTTCTTCTTACAAGACATTAACTGACTGGCAAAAATCCAGCTCTTAAGGGACACATTTCAGCTTATTCCAGTAGTGTCACCAGTAAGCTGAGAAATGAGGGGGCAGAAAAAGCAGATCTGACACCTAAGCCTGCAGAGCTGCTCTTGTGGCCTGGAGGAAATGGGCTGGCCCAGAAACATTCTGTCCAACACCTGAGAAGCCTGGAACCAGGCTGATGACAACCCAAACCTCCAAAACTGCACAACAGTTCCTGCTGTCACTCAAGCAGACAACAAGGGCAGGTCCTGCTCTTTCAGCCCTTGGAAATTCTTTTTACATTTTGCTGCGTTAAGAGGATTTTATACACACAGAGAGAATGTGTTTATACAAACCAGATGAAAGTGTGTTCCCCTCATTCCAGCCCATCCTGAATACCCTTTCAGTGCTCAGGACCACAGCTTTTTGGGCTGTGGGATGAAGAGATGAGATGATCAAGGGCCCAACAAGTGATGATAACACAATCTATGTGCAAACCACTTACAGGGAGACCTAAGAGCCAACTCAGCGGCCCAGGACATGAACACCCGGAAAAGAACACACTGCTCTGCACCGAGACAGAAAAGCACCCCGCTAGGGAGGGGAGAAAGGGACAGAACGCTGTCCATAACGCTGAACGGCAGCTTTACTGCTTGTCTGGCTTGAAACCTCCCAGCTGCGCTCTCCTCTTCCCCGCAGCCTCCGGGAAACCCACGGTGAAGGCCTCGGGAAAGACCGGACCCTGGAGAAGGGGCCCCGGGACAGGGCACCTGCGTACTCCGAGGGGCACTCCCGCCCCCGGCTGTTCTCCGCTGCTCGGGGCGGCGGCGCGGGACTCACTGTGCTGGAAGCCGGGCCCCTGGTGCACGCCCTGCAGCAGTGTCAGGATCTCCCGCGCCGTCTGCTCCAGCGCCTGCACCACCTTCCGGATCTCCTGCGGGCACAGCGCGCCGTCAGCCGAGCCATGGCACCGGCACCACCCCATCCCCGTTCCTGTCCCGCCCGCCCCGGCACCTCTCGGATGTCCTGGTCCTGGCCGAGCGCTCCCTGCAGCGCCGCGAACATCTCGCTCACCGACATGGTGCCGCCGCTTCCCGCCCACGGGGCCTTCCGCGCCGCCGGCGCGCGCCTGCCCCCGCACCGCCTGCAGCGCCGCGCCGGGCTGCCCCGCGCACCGCCTGAGCCGCCGGAGCAGCCAGGAATGGCCCGGTAGCGGCTGGGAGGGTACCCAGAGAGTGCTGATCGCTCCGGGGGGGCAGCTGGCCGCTCCCAGGGCGGGAAATTGCCCCCCCAGCGGTGTCCGTGTCCCAGGCCGCCCTCCCGGTGCGGCGGGGCCGGGCCCGGTGTGGCCGCGCTAGGGCCCGTCCGCCCTGTTGCCGGGAGACGGCGTCTGGGCGCGCGTCGCTGGCGCGAGGGCAGTGACGCACTTCCGGCGGCCGCGCGGAGGCAGCATGGCGGCGGAGGTGCCCGCGTCTGCTACGGCCGTGAAGGCGGCGCCGCTCCTGGCGCTGGAGCCGCGGCTGCAGCGCCAGTTCCAGCAGAAAGTGCAGCGGGCCCGCACCAAGCGGACGGCCAAGGTGAGCGGGGCGGCCCGGCGGGGCGGGGGCCCGGGCCTGGCGAGTCCCGGCCCGGGCTGACGCGGTCTCTGTGCTCGCAGGAGGAGCTGACGCCCGGCGTGGTGTTCGTGGGGCATCTCCCGCGGGGCCTCTGCGAGCCGCAGCTCCGCGAGTACTTCGGGCAGTTCGGCACGGTGACGCGGCTGCGGCTCTCCCGGAGTAAGAAGGTGAGTAGTGGCCCGTGCGGTGCCGTGATGTGGCCGAGCGCCTGAGGCCGGGCCGGGCAGTCTCCGTGACCGCTGGAGCTCCCCCCGTGCCCAGCGATGGCCCTCGGAACGCGCAGAGGCCGCTGCGCCCTGGGGCCCTCGGGAGCCCCTCGTGGAAGCGGCAGGGCCCGGGGCTGTCCCCGACTGCGAGGCGGCAGCTGGGGCACGGCTCTTGTGGTCCTTTTTTTCCGTGAGTAAATTCACTCCAGTTGGAAATACCAGAATGCACCAGTTCAAGGTACAACTGAAGTGCCACAATTCTGTTTTAACTTGTTGTGTTTGATAAATCTATTTTTTTCTCACTTCTGGGTTTGCCGTTACATTTTAAGATTACTGTATAAGCATGGAACAGTGGAACAGCAGCAATGCAGGGCAGCTCTGGGTTTTTTAGCAAGTAGATACCTGTGAGCAGTTTCTTTTGTGTGCAAATATGTATTTTACAAATAACGTCATGCCAATTTAGCACTAAATTTGTCTTTTAGGTCTAAATTGTGTTTTTCACAATTTCAGTGACCTTAGTGAAATTTGTTATCATTTGCTGAGAATGGGCTATGACTTTAGAGAATAACATAATTTTAATAGAGCCCTTCAGGTACCAAAGCACTGTTTGATGTTTCTCACTTTTCACTCACAGACTGGAGCCAGCAAAGGCTATGCATTTATGGAGTTTGAGTCTGATGATGTGGCCAAGATTGTTGCAGACACAATGAATAACTACCTGTTCTCTGAGAGACTGCTGAAGTGTAAGTATAAGGTGCAGTGTACGTCCTCTAGCATGCAAAGGAAACTTGTGGTTATTTCAGTTATCATTTTCAACCAAGTATAGACTCTTAGGGTTTTTTTAATGAAGTTTTGTCCCAGAAGTATTTTCTATGGGGCTGACCTTTTCATCATGTGTAAAGATTTTCATCACATGTAAAGAACATGCTCAGCAGGCTTTTGGTCACTAGTGCTGGTTTTTCCTCTGGGCTGATGTTGCTCCTAGTGACTGTGTAACATGAAATCTCAGGACAAAGTTGGGGTTGCTGTAGAGATAGTTCCTTTCACATGGAACCTCCTTGGCATTTGTAACTGCTTCAGTTGTTGTCTGTAAGGTTGGACAAAAGGAGGCTTTGAGTAAAAGATTGTTGAAATCTGAGTTTCTCAGTCATGGTAACAGTAAAACTTTCTTTGTAAAGGATTATGAGTTGACATGTTGTAAAACATGTCAACTGTTGGCTGTTTTTGGATGAAACTGTTAAAGCATTTTATCCATCCATCCATCCACCCACATTGTTATCTTATCACAAGAGTTCCATACTGTTGTCTCCTTATCATAAAAGTTTCATACCTTCCTGGTGTTTCTCATGGGCAGATCCTCAGAGCACTGACTCTTTCTTCTTCCCAAAGCAGCCAACTGACTCCAGTTCCCTTCTCACCCAGCCACCTCACTCTTCTATAGCATCTTCTTCTCATTGGTGACAGCTGTGGCCTGTTAAAGTCAGGCCTGTTCCTAATCTTTAATAATTGGCCCAGCTGCAACTCCTTAGGGGTGAGATTATCTTACACTATATTTTCTTATATTATATCCCCCTACACACCCACCCATTTCTCTGGCTGGCTGAGGGTGCAGTGACTGTTTCTTTGTTCCTGACTCGCTGAGTAGCGCGGCGTTGTGGCCGTGGGCTGTGCTGTGTGAGTGCCCTTGGCAGGAAGGGGAGCCCTGCTGTAACCCATGTGCTGTGCTTGGTGTAGGTCAGTTTGTGCCTCCCGAGAAGGTCCATGAGAGCCTGTTCAAAGGCTGTGACAGGATCTTTCGGCAGCCCTCCCAGCCGGCCGTGCGGCGCTACAACCGCGTGCGCTCCCTGCTGGAGAAGGCCAGGATGACCCAGCGCCTGCTGCGGAAGGAGAGGCTCTTACGGAAGAAGCTGGCTGAGAAGGGGCTGGACTATGACTTCCCAGGATTTGTAAGTTTAGCATCGCTTCAGTGAGGTTGTTAAGCAAGATGTGTTTCTAGAGTTGTGCTGAATGCATGGAAATGATGTGTTTTATGTGGAACTGGCAAAAGAGACGGAGCCCCAGGGAGGCTCACTTGTGTTAGGAACTGTATGGAAGCACCAGGAATTCAATGCTGTTGCTGGGCTGCACTCCATGTGCCTGCGTGTTTACTTGTAAAGAAGTAATAGGTAACAGCAAAGGGCAGATGTTCCTTTTGTTCTGTTGGTACAAGCAGTTGGATATTCTGTGGCTTAATACTGGAGCACAGGTCACCAAAGAGCAGAGGGGCTTTGGCAGAGTGGGGGCTTGAAGGCAGGTCCCAAGGCCAGAACTTCCATCCACAGCCCTTGTATGTTCCTCGTCTGCGGAGTGCTTCCGTCAAGTACTTGAGTTGTGAGCAGTTAATGCTGTTTAACATGGAATGCTCTAAAAATGAGAGTAGCACATTTTCTTGTGTTGCTTTTGGTGGTTTTGTTCAAACCAGATCACCTCTGTGTCAGTCAGCTTATTATTTTAAACCTATTTGCTGTAACAAAGACTTTGTCATTATGAAACAAATCTATGAACTGTTAAGTGACTGCGTCTTCACACAAATGTGTAGTGATCCACCTGATCTGTCTTTCTTCCTAGGCTGCACAGGCGCTTTCCAAAAAGAGAAAGAAAGTTAAAACATCCAAGAAATCAAAACTGAATGTTTCTTTGAGCAGCCAGGTAAGACAGACCAGTCCTGCTGCTGACCAGTACCACCATTCACATTGGGGCAGATGTTTGAAGTCTTCTGCTAGCACCTTAATACTGATTTCAACACACAAAAACCCATAACGTTGTTTGCCTGAGAGATGTTTGTGCCAGAAGTAGCTCCTTTGAGATGTGTTTACACTCTTGAACTGAGGAGCGTGACAGAATCCTCATGGTTCCTTCTCCTGTGAGAGTATGGAGCAGCAAAGGCTTCTGCTCAGCACGCTGTAACCAGCAGTGCCTGTCCCTCAGTGCTGTCAGCCTCTGCTGTTCAGCACTCCCTTGAGGCTGTGGTACTGCAGGGTGCTGGGGCACCTGTACACCCCCTGCACCTGTGCTTTACCCTGGGATGACATGATCTCCTTGGTGGAGTCCTTCTGTTGGACCATGTTTCAATGCCTGCCTGTTTTGATAAACAGGGAGTTGAATTGTTGATACAGTCTAGTGCTGTCTGTCCCAATTTCCGTCTGTACTGTCCCTCCTACCCTGTGCTCTCCAGGCACAGTATTTGGTGTTTTGGAAACAAATGCCAGGTAAAAGTAGCAGTAGGATGAAAGGGAAGTTCAGGTCATCAGGACTGAGATTTGGGATATTGGCAGTCTAAAAAAGTCTGTAAGACGTTAACATTTCTGTTTTGTTTCATCATTGTTATGAGTTGGGGGAGTGAGTGTTTGGGGATTTTTATTATTACTGGGTTTACTTGTGATAATTGGGGCATGGCTGGTTGTGAGGAAGACAGGATAACTAATACATTCTGTCAACTGAGTTCTGAGGGATAACTGATGTAATAAAGTTGGGGTGTTTCAGCTCTGTTGTTAAGTTGAATGTGGCATTTCTGTATGCCAGTCTCAAATATACTCCCTCAACCCCTGCCTCGTTGCCCTGATTATGTTCCACTTGACTTTAGTGATGCTTTGAGTCAGGAAATACAAAGTTTAGAAAGCAAATGTGCATAACAACACGTTAAAAAATGTGAATTAATTTCCATTTGCCTTTCACATACACTTCTTTGAAGGTGACGCTTCTGTCCAAAGAAATAATGTCTACCAAAGTAGCTAGTTATAAAATGTAAACAATTTTCTGAAGGAGAGCTGGACTGAGGTGTCTTGTGGTACCACAGGGGCAGGGACAGCTTTTTCTGGCAGATGGCTTTGCTATGAATCCCGTTTTTCTGATCTCTTCAGGATCCTACTCCAGTGTGTACTCCAGCAGTGCTCGAGCGCCGGAAAGCTGCTCGGATGGATGATGACACAGAGGACGATGAAGTAACTCTTAGGCTTCCCTCTGCCAGCGGTAAGAACGCTGTGCAGAGACCAAAGAAGCAGCCAAGGCGAAGGCCAAACCTGAAGAAACAGAAACAGACTTAAAATTTTTATGCCTGTAGCCATATTTTTCTCAACTTTAAAAACTTTCAAGGTGGAGCTTCTACTGGGTCTCCTGCCCTGGCTTGGTTCATCCTGCCTAGACTGTTTCAGGCTTTCTTAGGCAAGGACTCTGTTCACAAATCCTGTCCCTGTGGTTTAGCCATCAAGGGACATATGAAGATATCCTTGACTTTGTGCTCACAAGTGCCCGTGCTGTGACACAGCAACAGTAGTCCAGAATCTTCAGTTAATTTTATAACTCTTGTCTAGTGCTCACTGTTTGGAAAGAAAATGTGAGGCTGTCCATTCAGAGTTTGCTAATGCAAGCAACTGTGTCTTAAATTTGTAATTAATTACAGGTTATTAAAGAAATTACCATTTTTCAACTTTCTTTGCTCTTGGTAATGGTTCTTCTGTTTAACTGAATGTCTGTGTTTTGTGAAAGTTCTCATATATTTGCTCCGATGGAGGCTCTCGAGAAGATGCACCAATAATCAGAGCAGTCTGAGTTCTACTGGCAGTTCTGTTGTCCTTTGTCACTGCATTTTAGTTTCACTGCTTGCATGAAACCAACAGTGTCTTCTGCTCCAGGAGGTGATAAGCACATTGAAATATCATAATAACCAGGAGTGCAAAGGCATGTTTTTGTCAGCAGTCATATGAGTTCAGAGAATTGAGTGTAGCTTTTTGTAATGCATTAAGATTCATTCTTGTTCCAACTAGCTTGTCATTGCAGATAGCAGATATCTAGTCCTGCTTGAACAGGCAGTTTGTACAGTTAGAATTTGGATCTTAATGCAAGTTTGAGATGTGTAGAAATCCCAGATTGGGTTCTGTGCACATATTTAGCCTTCATCTTTTGTTGTCTTAAACACTAATGCTGTTGGCTTCTGGTCAGGCTTAGCAGGTGATTTTAGAGGAAAGCTCAGGTGATAATAACCAGCTAGGTAGGTGTCTGGCACTAATTTCTTGGCTACTTTAATTGAAGTCCTGGCAGAGAAAGATTAATCTAAACCATTGGCCTTGCTGATTCTGATCTATCTGGCCTGATCACTGGAATAATCCTGAGATCATAATGACATTGTCTAGATGACTCAGATTAGATCATTCTCCTTTCTTGAGGAAGCCACTTAGATGACTGCATCTTTGTATTAAATGCTTGTCACCTTGGGCAGGCCAGGGGAATCTCTTCACCAGCCCAGTGCTCACGGACAGTCCTTGCCTTTCAATGGAAGTGTTGCTGTGATCATCTTCAGGCTTCCTTCCCTGTGCCTTGTTTGATGGGAAACAGGCAATGCTTGTACCCCAGACCTGTGAGAAATAGGCTCTGAGTTGAGGTTTGAGATACATGACCACCACAGTGGTTAGCAGAAATTGCTTATCTGTATCTGATGTGCACCTGTGAAAAACTTCTACCTTGACATCATACAGCAGAGAGCAGCAGAAAAGAAGCAAAATGCATCTGCCCAGAATAGACGGTTTTCTTTTGAAATCCCTGTTCCCGACTTTGTGTCGGGCACATAAAGATGGCTGTTGAGTCGGGATGAGCTAGAAATGTGGCTGCGTTCCTCCTGCTGGGAGCTGAATCTGCTGACACCGGGGGGCAGCACGGCTCAGCTGTGTGGCCGTGCCGCAGCACGAGGCTTCCTGGGAAACAACGCGCGTTTGTGAGGAAAGCCTCTCCTGCCAGTGAGTGCCTGCACTGGTGTGACTCGTCTCTAACACGGCTTAAGGATACATGAGAAACCTGATACTGATCTTAACCAAAAATGCCCATTTCTGTGTTGCTGCCACAAGTGCTCCTTCCTAGGCTGCCGAGTTAAAGCTGCTCTTTAGAAAACTTAGTTTATCCAGAGTAACTTCTCTGGTGCAGTTCCACATTCCCTAAAGCCTGAGCATCTCCATTCCTGTGCTTCCCATTCCAATGCCTTGGCCGGCATTTTGAACGTGGAGTTGGTTTCTTCCCACTCTGCTTCTGTTGCTGTGCTCCTCTCTGTGCCCAGTGTTCTGCCCCTGCCTGTGTTCACTTGCTGCTTTCTTCCATGTTTGACTCAGCTTCTCATGCTGAGTGCCAGGGCTGTCCTGTCTGGCTGCATGAGCAGCCCTCATGCATGTCCCCTGCATGAGAGATTTTGGCTTCTGGAGGTCTCTTGGAAAGGTTTGTGCCTTTAAGCTAAACCCCTGGCTGCTGCTGGCTCTCCAGAGTCACACAGTGGTGTGAGCCTTGATGGGAAGACGTTCAAGAAAACTGCTCACAATAAGGGTTGCTTCCTGCTGTAATTTTCCTTTCCCTTCCTTTTGTTTGTTCATCTTCCTTCAATTGAGATCAGCTTAGATGGCAACTCTGAACAGCAAGGAAGCAAAATTCTGTGTTGTTTGAGGAAAACACAATACCCTGGCTACAGCAAGGAGCTCTCGGCAGAAGGCAGCTTTTCTTGGTGATAGCTTCTGTTTTTAGGCTGCCTGTGTTATTAATACACTGCTGTCCAGGGAGATGTACGTAAGCAGAAATTCAGACACCTGATACTTGCCAAACATAGTTTCCGTAGCAAGTGGACAGATGTGCTGTGTCATGAGTTATGCCCCAGTCCCTGCACTGATTTTTATTTCTCATTTCTCCAGTAATTTGTTTGTTCATCTTGGACAAACACAAACCTCCTGGCCACTGGTTTTAGGATAGGCTCCAAGTTGTTTTTACAGGGATGCTGGGAGTGTTTGGGCTGTGGTTTCAAGGCATGACTTGCAAGTGCTCTGCCTTTCAGTTATGAGTGACTTTGTGGAGCTGTTTTGCTGAACACTCATGTATGTATTACTCTTTTGAGAAACTTAGGTGCTAGCCAAGCTGCTAATTTACACCCATTTATTACAATTTCTCTGTTTTGGAGGAGGGAACAGGGTTTAAGAGTGTTCACAATTTCCTGGCACAAGAAATACTGGAAGTAAAAGAAGAATGGGGGGTAGGGAGGGTGAGGGAGAAAAGCAGAATTGGCTGCAAGACAGAGGGAAGGAAGGAATGATGCAGGCAATGCTCACCTCTCAAGACGAAGATACTGGTGAATGTGGCAAGGTTAGGCTGCTCAAAATTAAAGATGCAGTTTTATGTTTTCCTGCTGCTTATTGTGCCTGTCAGATGTGCTGTGGGATGCCCAGGCTGGATAAGGAGTGTGCTGCCATCACAGTCCAAGTGCTGGTACTTGCTCATGAGCCAGGTGAAGGAGGAGAGCAGGCTGGGCAAGTGACACTTGCTCTTGCCAGTACCAAGCCTGTTTGCTTGCATACCTGGCTTTGGAAATGGCTGCAGCCCTGGGGAGCAGGAGGTTAAAACCTGTCTGCAAATGGCTCATGGTGCAAGGGAGGATTTAGGCATGGCTCTGAGGGGTGACATGCTCTCCTCTCCAACTAACCAGTGAGGCAGAGGGAAGCTCCAGCAAATTCCTGTGTTGAGTGCTGAGGAGTTTGGCTCTCACTTTGCAGTGTGATGCAGCCAGCTGGGGTGGGCTGTGCTGTGTGAGGTGCTGTGCACATCCCTGCCCTGGGCAGGGTGCTGCAGCTGAAAGCTGGGCAGGCAGGTAACAGGAGTACAGGGAATGTGATCTCCATTATATGTTTTCCAGGAATATCTGCAAATCCTCTTGGACCAGACTACTTCATTGTCCAAGATGCTGTTCAAACACGTCCTTTTCTCCTGACTTTTCCATCTAACTCCCAGATTCTTGAAATGTCTAACTCTAGGCAGCAATAATCTGCACTTCTTAGCCAGAGATGTGCTGGGGACCAGTCCAGGGTGCTGCTGGAATGGTGGGGAGGCCATTCTGTGTGTCAGGCTGCTGCTGGCACTGCTAATGCAGGCACATCCCTCCCTGCCCAAGGGCAGCAGCTGTCAGAGCAAGCTGAGGAAATGGTTAATGTGTGAGTGAGAATTCCTGAAGTGAAACGCTTTCTTCCATGCAGGGTGCAGCAAGGCCTCTCATCACTTCTGACACCCAGCATTAATTCAACATATGGCAGGAACAGAGATCTTGGCTGTCCTGGGAGGCTTGGAGTAGTTACACACCTGTGTGTTTGTGGCCAGTAACCATGTGGTTCTCCTGTGCCGGGAAAGGAAAAGCTTCAAAGAAGCTCCTACACGAGGTTTGCCTCTGATCAGGGAAGAAAATGCTGGTTTATGATAGTCCTCAAACTTGTTGTTGAAGAGAGGCAGAACTATGAGGACTAACTCTGCGGGACTTTGAGACAGCAAGGTGGGGCCTGCAGTGAGCCACAGGCACTGGTGTTGCTTCCTTTCCCTGTCTGTCCATTTGATCCTTCACATGGAGACGGGCTTGCCCTGGATTTGAAACTTGTTGTTTTAAAGAACAGGAAGGAAAGAAACAAATCTCATTTTTGTGATAGTGATTTTGGAAAGCCCTGTTCTTTTCTGTGTGTTTTTCCAGTACTGGTTGAGAGGAGCCTTGGTAAGCAGGTACAGATGTGGAAATTGGGCTGCTTGCTCTGTAGTGAGGCATTGCTGCCAGTTTCCCACAAGGGCTTGCAAAAGCTCCCAGTTTGCTTGTGTATTGCTTTTTTTTTTTTTTTAAACAAGCAGGGAAGTAGAGTTACTTCTGTCAGCGTGGCTTCATGAGGCTGAGAGCATTGCAGCATTTTGAGGGTGAAGGCAGGACTTGCCTCTGCTGTTTGCTCAGTTACTGTTTCTCACACAAGGCAGCCATGCAGTGGGGAGTGAGCAGGGTCTGTGCCAGCTGTGCAGCAGCAGCAAAGCTGCTTTGTCACCTGCACTATTTTTATTTCTGTTGATGTGAGAGCTGGAAGGGCTCTGGTGTGATTTTCAGGTGCTGGGCTGCATTTGCAGGTCTGCCTGTTAGAAGGGGGTTGGGTTCATCTGCCCAGAGGTGATGGCAGAGGGAATGTAAGACAAATCTATAAAGTTTTCCTTCAGCTATCCCACACAAAGACATGCTGTATGTGGTTTATTAACAGGGCAGTGCTAAAAGTGCATTTTATTGAACTGTATCCGTAAAAACAAATTCTAGGTTGGAACTGCTGGAGCTTTGTGGCTGGTCTGGCAGGAGCTATGCAAGTGCAAAGGACTAGCTCCAGAGGTAGTATGGATTCTCCTACAGCAAATGTGTCTGTTGGTGTTATGTCATTGCAGCTCCATCAGATGAGTCACAGCCTAAGTTTTTATCCTGAGAACTACTACCTCATCTTTTTTCCCCCATCAGCTCATAATTTTACAAGATTAAATCCTGCCTGTTAATATATAGTACAAAATCAACCAGTTGGTTGTTAAGACTCATTTGGACTTAGTGATTTGGACACTTGGGATTGGGTGGGCTGCCAGTGTATGTTTGCTGTGTTGCCATTCAGTGTCAGCCTTCCCATTGCATTCTG